CCCCCCCCCCCACTCTCTCCCTCCCTCTTTCTCCCTATCTCTGCCTCTCCCCCTCTCCCTCTGTCCCTCTCTCCCTCACTGCCATCCTCCCTCTCTCCCTCACTGCCTCCCTCTCTCTATCCCTCACTGTCTCCCTCCCTCTCTCTCTCTCTATTTCCGCCTCTCCCTCTCTCCCCCCCTCCTTCTCTCCCTTTCTCTCTCTCCCCCACTCCCTCCCCCCCTCCCTCCCTCTCTGTCTCCCTCCCTCCCTCCCTCTCTCTCACTCTCTCCCTCCCTCTCCCCCTTCTCTCCCCCTCCCTCTCCCTTCCACCCCTCTCTCCTCTCTCCCCCCTGTCTCTCCCTCCCTCCCTCTCTGCCCTCCTCCCAATCTCCCCCCAACCTCTTTGTCTCCCTCAGGATGGCGAGTGCTACGTTGAACCTCAGGGGGAGAAGAGGCGCCCCGGTTCCCCGGTCTACACCAATCTGAAGGAGCTGAAGGTGACCGTGCGGTCCCCCCCAAGCCCCACCGCTCCGCCGGTGCAGATCCTGGACTTGTGGGAGAGGCACATCTGCCCTGACACTGGGCGTAACTTCTACCTGAATTCTGTCACCAAGGAACGCACCTGGAAACCACCGAGACGGACTCGCAACCGGGTCCAGTCCAGGGTGAGTTATTGCCCCCCTCCCTCCTGCCCTCCCCGAGACACCTACCCTGTTAAATACCCTCCTCGCCTTTCCCCTTATACCCACAGTGCTTAGAGTCGTACAGCATGGAAACAGACCCTTCGGCCCAACTCGTCCATGCTAACCAAGTTTCCCCAAACTGCACTAGCCCCATTTGCCCACATCCCTCCAAACCTTTCTTATTCGTGTACCTCATACAGTCATAGAGTCGTACAGGACAGAAATAGACCCTCCGGCCCAACTCGTCCGTGCTGACCCAGATATCCGAAAATAATCCAGTCCCATTTGCCAGCATTTGGCCCCATATGCCTCTAACCCCTTCCCATCCATGTCCCCATCCAGATGCCTTTTAAATGTTGTAACTGTACCAGCCCCCACCCACTTCCTCTGGCAGCTCGTTCCACACACGCACCACCCTCTGTGTGAAAAAGTTACCCCCTCACATCCCTTTTAAATCTTTCCCCTCTCACCTTAAACCTATGCCCCTCTAGTTTTGGACTCCCCCCCGCCCCAAACTGTCAACATCCTGGGGGTTACCATTGACCAGAACCTGAACTGGACATAGCCCCATATCAATCCTGTGGCTACAAGAGCAGGTCAGAGGCTGGGAATCTGTCACAGATGCACATGCACACATACATATGCGTGCGCGCGCACACACACACACACACACACACACACGGTCACTGACGCGCTAATTCACACACTTATACACTCATTCACACTCACACTTAAACTCACACTCACTCACTCTTGCAAGATGTGCACCAGGATCTCTGGAGGGTCAGCACAGCAAGATCCCAATCTTCCATTCGAAGTTACCTCGTTTCCCCCCCCGACCCCGTTTGGGTTTTCACGCTATTCTTTCTAATTCTAACCCCGCCTTTCTTGTGTTAATCGGATACTGTAGATATGTATATTTATTTCAATGTTTGTTCCCCCCCCGAAGTTCTGTAAATTTGGTGTGTGAATCAGAAAAGGAGGAAGTTTG